GGCCCTCCCTGGTGGCGCAGCGGGTTAAAGCACAGCACTGAGAATCTAAAGCCGCTTTCGCATGAGTTCGATTCCCGCCTGCCCCGGAGGTGACCACATGGCGCGGCAGACCTCTCCTGACCCGCCCGCTGCTCCCCTCAGCAGTGTACTTCGTCGATCTGCCTGTTCTGCTCCCCACTCTGTCTCTGGTGAATCCTCTCACCCTCCGCATCTCTGGCCTGTACCCCAGTTCTGTATGAATAAATAAATAAATCTTTAAAAAAAAAGTATTAAAACAATACAGATAAAGCAGACAAAAATAGAGAATAGAAAAACTAGAGAAATTAAATAAAACCCAAAATTGGCTCTTTGAAAAGATCAAATTAATAAGCCTATAGTTAGCACTAAGAATAAAACAGATACAAAAAGACTCAATTAAAATCAGAAAAGCAGGTGCAGACATCAGTGTACATTTTGCAGATGTAAAAAGTATTAGAAGAATGCTAAAAACTGCTAAGCTAGATGAAACAGACAAATTCCTAGAAATACACAATCTATCAAAAGAGAATAAAATAGAAAATCTAAATAAATCTGTATTTAGCAAGGAGATTGAATCAGTAATCAAAAAATTGAAACAAAAGCAAAAAACCTTTCAACAAAGAGAATCTAGACCAAATAATTTCACTAGTGAATTTTACCAAACATTTACACAAGAATTTGCACCAAATCCTCAAATATTTCTAGAAAGCTGAAGAGGAAGGATTCCTTCTCACACTCAATAGGTCTGACAAAGATACTACAAATAAACAAAACCGCAGACCAATAGCCCATAGGCACAGTGATGCAAAAATTCTCAAAAAATACTAGCACTGAATTCAGCAACATACTAAGAAGTATTGTCTAACATGGTCAATGGGATTTATTCCTGGAATGTTAAGTATTGTTCAACATAGGATAATTAATCAATGTAAGGAAAGGAAAGGAAAACAAAACCAAACAACTATCATCCCAATCAAACTGGAAAAGTATCTGATGATGAGGAAAAGAATAGAAGGAGACATCACAGGTTCAAACCTGAGTCGTGCAAGGAGGTGGGGGCAAAAGGAACTAATGTTAGCCCAGTCACAGAGACTCCTATATCAGATTGCTGCATCAATCAGAATACTGCCTGCAGCAGAATGTCGGAAGCACAGACCAGAGGGTAGAGATAAAAGATTGGGCCACTGTGAGATTCCACATAGTTCTCCAAAATCAGCAGCTAACACGCCACCCCACAAGGAGTGAGCCCTCGCCAAGAGAAAAGGACTCTATCAGGGCAGTCTCTGCACTGGCCCAGGGCAGCAATCTTCTGCCCACCTGTGCCTATGCAGGTGCTTCTTCCCACCTGCTCTCTCCCTCTGCAGGGAAAGCCTGCACGTGACCTGTACCTGCTGGGGCTTCTCTGCACTGACCTCCCTAAGCTCTCTTAAGGCCGCCCGCCTGCAGCCATACAGGAATCTCAGCAAACATGTTCTTTCGGGGCAGCTCTGTCTGCCCGCTTGTGCCTATGCAAAAGTCCTTTACTACTCTGTCCTTTTCCCTAACAAACCTGTTCTTTAAATTAACAGTCTATCTTGCAGACCAACTCTCCTCATGTTGCTGAAAGGTGAGCTCTGGTGAAACCTTTCCCAGAGAGAACCCAAGAACCCCAAACTCCAAAAAAGACATCATTTGATAAAATTCAATTACCCTTCATGATAAAAGTGTGCAGTAAATTAGGAATAAAATAAAATTTCTTCAGTGTAGTAAAGGCCATTATGAAAATTCCACAGCTAATGTCAGAGTCAATGGTAAAAGAATGACAACTTTCTCCTCAGAAAGATCAGCAGGCAAGATACTTCTATTCAAAACAGTATTACAAGTTCTGGCCAGGGCCCTCACTGATGGTGCAATGGGTAAGGACGCAGCACTGCAAGCTGGCTGCAGCCACTTCAGTGGGAATTCGATCCCTGTTCCCGGAGGTGGTGTACACAGTGTGGCAGACCTCTCCTGACCCTCCCGTTGCTCCCCTCAGCAGTGTATTTCTTCAATCTGCCTGTTCCACTCCCCACTCTGTCTCTGGTGAAGCCTCTGACATAGTAATTCCACTTCTAGGCGTATGCCTAGAAGAACTAAGAGCAGCAAAGCAAACAGTAGTTGCAGCAATAATGCTCATAGAGCGTTATTCACGGTAGCTAAAAGGTAGCAGTGTCCATCAGCAGAGCAGATAAGTAAGATGTGCTGTCGTCCATACCATGAACATTGCACAGTCTTACAGTGTACTGAAACTGATCCCCACAACATGAACAAACTTTAAAAATATTATGCTAAGTAAAGTAAGTAAGCCAGGCACAAAAGGACAAATATTGCATGATTCCACTTCTATGGAATCTAGAATATAGAAACTCAGACAGAAAGAATAGAGGTTATTCAGCTATGGGGGAAGGGAGGATGGAATATTAATACTTAACGGTACAGTTTCAGTTTGAGATGTTATGCAAATCCTGTTAATAGACAGTGATGATATTTACATAATGTGAAAATATTTAATTTTAAATATTTAAGTGTCACTGGACACTTAAAGACTGAGGGTAAATTTATGTTATGTATATTTTACCAAAATTAGAAAAATACAATCTTTCTGGAAGGTTATCTAACTAAAGCACATGTGACTTATCTATTAAAACAACCATTTACTTCCAGAGGAAATACCTCCAAGAACATGAAAAAATATATATGTAACATAACATTATTCATTATAATGTCCCTTATCATTGCAAAATATCATAAATAACACATATGCCCATAAACAGGATACTGAGTAAAGTATGTACATATATTGTATTACTTTGCAGCTATAAAAATTAGAATAATCTCGGCCCTCCCTGGTGGCGCAGCGGGTTAAAGCACAGCACTAAGAAGCTTAAGCCACTTCCACATGAGTTCAATCCCTGCCTGCCCCGGAGGTGACCACATGGCACGGCAGACCTGACCCACCCGCTGTTCCCCTCAGCAGTGTACTTTGTCGATCTGCCTGTTCTGCTCCCCACTCTGTCTCTGGTGAAGCCTCTTGATGCCCCTGAGCCTCTGGCCTGTACCCCAGTTCTGTATGCATAAATAAATAAATCTTTAAAAAAATTAGAATAATCTCTATAAACTGACAGGGAGTTATTGCCAAGATATATAAGAATTGAAACAACCAGGGTTCAAAGAGCACGGGGGTGTAAGACACACATATCAGGTCATGTACCCAAAAAGCAATCCGGATGGATGCACTGGAAACTTGTTACAGAGTGGGCAGGAGAGAATTCAGAGAATGGGGGTGGGACTGGGGCAGTGAATATGAAAAAAAAAAGACAATTTGATTATAACTTTTTGTATAGCTCTCTGGGAACATAACAATATTCTGGGTATCCAAAAAGTAACAACAATTTATAGTAACCATGATGTGGGGGGAACTAAGGAAATATAAAAAGTTACAAATGAGCAGTCTCTGTCTTCAGTTCAGTGCATTAAATATAAATTACATAACCATGATGAAAGGAAAAGAAGTAACTTAAGAAACTGGAAAGCTGTTTTAACAATAAGGTTAAAGACAAACTATACAAATAACGTACTCTGTCCAGAAATTTCTAATGAATAATTTCAATTTGGAATTTACTTTCTGTTTACTTGGATCGAGAAAAGCAGTTGTGGATTATTTAAGTCAGCTTTCTCACTGTAAGGTAAGACAGGGTTTCTTGGAAATATGGTTAGTTCTAGACAGAGGCAAGGGAAAGCTCAAGTTGAGCCAGTACATCTCTGTGACAGAAAGTACAGAGCTGCATTTAAAACATAATAACGGGCACATGGAAGAAGGCGGCTTTGAAGGAGAGTCCAACATCAAAGCTGAGACTTGGAGCAACAAAATGTTAGTATTAGAGAGCATCATAAACACATTTTTATACATGTTAAATATATTAAGTAAATATTTTTGAGCATATGCTAATATTAGTGAGTGAAAATAGTTCTTCCTCATAACAGAATGACATTAAATGCCGAAAGAATGATGGAAACAAAACTACTAGGTCAAAAACTAGGATGATAACTATATCACAGGTTGAAATCATGAATGGATATGAAAATTAGAGGGTAAAAGGTACTTGACTAGTCTCAAAGGTATGAACAGAAAGGAAAATATTAGTAACTTTATAGTGAAGAAGTTTGGCAGACAGTATTCCAAGGCCGTAAGGGAAGTTAATATAAGACAAAGCTCCATGTAATGAGAAAATAAACCAGCATTTGTGTGTTATTCTTGACAGAAGAGAACACCTCAATCAAATCCTCTGGAAAATATCACACAGTCCCAAATGGATACCTCCTACTAAAGAAGAGGCAGGAGCTCTTCAAATGCATCCAGTCATGAAAGACTGAGGACTGTCACAGGCAGAGAAGACTAAGGCAGACAGGACAACTGTGAGTGTGGCTCTGGACCGGGAAGATGCTGATGGCAAGCCAGAGCTATTTCGTAAGGTTTCTATATGGGCTATTAATGTTTCAATGTCAATTTTCAATTTTACTATGATCTTGTACGGTGTTAGCATTGGGGGAATCTGCATGAAGTGTGTATGAGAATTCTGTATTATTTCTATATCTTTTTATAACATTAAACCACTTAAAAATAAAGCTTAAGAGAAAGAAAACATATCCTAAGTCTTTGGAGATCATGCTTTGGCAGATTCAAAATTATTCACCAAGCTGAATTAATACCACTGACAATTATTTCCAATTTTGAGAATCTTGAGAAATTTCCTCTTTCTTATAGGTTAATTCCTTCATAATAAGTTTGTATTACAGTTTACACATACTGTTTTCCACCCATTACAGTCAATTAGTTGGGAAAAGGGAATGAAACTTTGCTATTCTAAACCTGTATGACTTGTTTTTATCATGTATACCCAAGACGTGTATTGTGAGTGAAAGAAAACTGTAAGATCTCAGTGCTGTGGGAATTATTTACTTACGCTCCACAAAGGAAGTAAAGAGCATTCTAAACCTGCTGAGCCGACTCCCTTCATCTGCCCACATTCGGATCACTCCAATCCCTGTTTTAAGCATCACATCATTGGCTACAGTGCTGCAAAACTTGGCTTTCAGATTTTCAATGGCACTGCTTCCATCGTAAACAGCAACGAAGTTTCTCTTGCATTCATTGGAGTGCTCCATTTGATAATCTAGGAACCTCAAATAAATCTGTAACATTAAAACAAATAAAAGTACAGCTTTAAAAAAGACATCAATTTGAATCTTCTAGTTCCATTTTCCATCTATTATCAACATTGTAGTTTGAATTATGAGGACAGACAGAAAAAACCTAACTCAGTATTTAGCCATCCATCCAAGAACTATTTGATCTGTTTGATGATGTTTCTTGGTTGTCTTAATGGGAACAAACATTAAAGAATGAAAAGTTTGTGTTTTGCCTGTAAAGACATTTTTGCTCCATAAGGTTGAACTGCCTTACATATTTCCCTAGTTATAAAAGCAATCTCCCAGTACTGACAAATTGGGAAAATAAAAGAATCACAGTTCTTTTACTCTAACAATCATAACTGATGAGTTTCAGTGTTTGCTTCACATTTTTAAAATGTAAATTTAATGGTAAGATAATGCAACCTGCTTTTGCTGTAGCACATTAAACTTTTTAATCTTACCTATAACTTTTCATAACATAATCACTCCTGTTAAATCCTGGCATTTATTTACCCATTATCCTACAGAGCACACTTTTAAGATTTTACCCCGCAAGTAAAGGACATTTGAACTATAGTATCACAGTAACACGATCAATATTCTGTTGTGATTAGTAGCCCCTTTCTTGAAATTATATAGGCAGTAAGTTAACTTTTAAAATAAAATTGGCCCATTCTTGCTTCTTTTAGATGATAAACCTAAAAAGACTGATCATTAACCCTTAGTTGTGGGCTTATATAAGCCTTGAATATAACTTCTGAAGGAACAGAATAAAACAGGTAATCTTTACAAGTAGGGAGGAAATGACAGCGCAGAGACAACCTTGATGGCCTGACTTTTCACTGTGTGCTCCCCAAGGCCTGAGAGGGTTCTCTATGCACACAGCTCACACTTTGGCTCTACAATGTAAATAAAGTTTTCACAAGTAAAGAATAGATTCCTTGATTTTCACTGAAGATATTTAGTAAGTATTGACTTTACAGTTGCCATCTCTTTGGAAGCAGTATGAAGGCTTCAAAAAACAAAAGTTAATCCTAAAATAGTTAACACAACTAAGAGCAAGCAATGAAAAAAATATAGCTCAGAGCTAAATCTGACCATGTAACTTTAGCTTATTTGAAATGACTAGCTTGATACTCATGAGAAAGGCAGTAAATTGTTTATGAAAAAGGATTTCCTTAGCAAAACTTCCAAAATCCTCATAAATATATTTTAGCATAGAAGATTGTTTTCTTAAATAATGATTTCTCCATTAATACTCTGCCAATGGTTCTGTGGTAGCAAGTATTAGTAATATTTTAAGTGTTTATCTCCATTAGATTAGAATTCCATTGAGAGAATCTTATGCTAATCACAGTCAGTATAATTCTTGCTTATAACACATACTGGGTAAGTGACCAAGTTTATAAAACTATGAATTGATAGAGTGAAATACCAGGCAAAACAATCAATAAATCATAAGTATTTATCCCCCTTTTTTCAATCTAAAGAAATGATACTATACAAGGCTGTAAAGATCCTTTTTTATCTAATTTTCAAAAAAAAAATAAGTCCTATGACAAGAATGACATTTTATTGTGGTCACAACTAGATAACTGAAGTTGATTTCAACTAATTTCACAAAATATTTCTACCAATACAAATCTGAGAAATTGAGACAGGTGGAAGGGGTGGAAACAACTGATCTTACTCTAGATATATGAGCTTTTACTAAACACTCTTACCTGTCATTTTACACTTTTACTAAACATGCCCTAGTATCTGTCTCCCAGGGAGGTGGGGTGATTTATTTTCATAGTGGACATTTTCATCTTTTTTCCTCCTTTTTCCCTAGGCCAGTCAGTAGGAAACAGTGACCCAGGTTAACTGGGTCTCGTTTGCAGATGCAAGAGTTTCCTAAACTTTCTTGGGAGTGGAATGGTTCAGTCCAGACATAGGTGGTAGGTGGATTGATGGGTAGGGAATTAGCAAGTGTAATTTCTGCTTTAATGCAATAAAAGGGTTAATCTGAATCTTCACACACCCATTGGTTCATTAACTCCAGAAGGGAAAAGGGATATTATTTACAGGAGCCCTCAAAGATTCCAACAGAAACAAAATGAAATCCCTCCATGAGCCACAATTATTTATGGAGGGGTCACTGATACAAATAGACTAAAACATTAGTCGCATACTCTTAAACACCAATGAATTTTTTCATTTTTATAAGTGTATTTTTCTGTTAACATCACCCCTTAATTAACTTAGTGCATTTCTGAGTACTGAAGGGTTATGGTGACCTTTAACATTTTCTCATTCAAGTTTCTTAAAATAATCTACTTACTCATTTAATATTTAGCATTAAAAATCTAATTCTCCTGTCAACTGTGCATAATTTTTTTTTAACTTTTGAAAATCAATTTACTTTTACTAAAAGTAGCATTCTTGCAGCAACTTGGATGGAGCTGGAAAAGATCATGCTTAGTGAGATAAGCCAGAAAGAGAAAGAAAAATACCGATGGTTTCACTCATAGCAGGAGTATAATGGACCAGGCGAGAAAATAACAAAAATAATGAACAACCATAGACCAGAGACATTC